GGCACACTCTGTAAACACTCATTCTAATAAGCCCCTCATAGACAGATTATCACGGCAGGCGGGAACAATGTCAACAATGCTAATTATCCCAAGATGTATGCACCAAGCATTCAGAGTCGTCTTCCTGGAGACATAAGTGCATACAGCACACATAGAAGGAGCGCAAACTATCTCTATCTAATTATCATCACACCCACATTAATGAATGCCATTAATTTGCGCAGATGCAAAACACAATGATAATTTATCAGTCATAGAACAATTGTTTGTTAATCTGGTGGATTTATTAAGAATCAGTTGTCTTTACACCTGCAAAATCCGGTGATCCAAACGCAAGTGGTAGAAAATGGTTCAAAATGGAGGTAAATGCTCACGCCCCATATTGTATTTATAGTTTAAATGCTTTTAAATGTAGCACATGCATCCAATATACAGTTAATATAGAAGCTCACATTAAATGTAGAAGCATTGTATTCAATGATGTATTAAATAAATGAAAATGACAGTAAAGACATTTATAATGTTACTATATATATATATATATATATATATATATTTCAAACGATTCTGTTCTTTTGAACTTGAAGTGAAGAAGAGTGCAACCTGTAAAAAAAGTATTATGGTTTTCACAAAAATATTAATCAGCACAACTGTTTTCAATATTAATAATAATAAGAAATGTTTCTTGAGCAGCAAAGCAGCAATTATGATTTCATAAGGATCATGTCATGTGGCAATGAAGACTGGAGTAATGAACTGACGACAGAGACTGAATACATAATCTCATATGATATAAAGTATAAAATACAAGAGCATATACTTCAGAGAACCTGTCTTCTAAAATCTGCTGAGAATTTGCTTTAGCGATACCAGTAATCACGTATATCTCTCTTATGGTTCAGGGGGTACTGGGACAGGAGGGTCAACTTCCTGATCTACTTCCTGATTCTGGCTGTGGCAGTTTGAATTATAAATGTGTAAAAAAAATACATTTTTCATCAGTCTCGTAGCATGACCCATAGGCAGCAGGGGAGGAGTCATAGTCATGTGACACTGGTGACTGTGATTGACTCATCTCTAATAGATTTAGTTGTTTGGCTTCTCCTATTGTTTGGATTTGAAACCAAGAGAGAACTTTATACAAGACACGCATTGTAGATGTGCAAAATTTGGGGTTTCCACAGTTAACTATTTATGAAAAGTCAAACCATTTACACTTCAATGATTTTAATTGGTTTTGTTGATTATAATCTAATACAAAGATTTTTTGAAGCTATTTGATTCATTCAATTGATTTACTGATAAAACAGCAACGTAATCATTAGGGACACAGATCTCAGCTCAGCTACGTTTTTTAAAATATTTGATAAATAAGTATCAGGGGAATACAAAGTTCTAGCCTGGCTAACGCCAGACCCAATTCTCGTTGAGACTTGGGTCTGGGAACCGCATGTTCATTTTCTCATATTTGAGGTGCTTTATGAATGCCCGGCGCCGTTTATTGGGTGCTAAGAATGTCTATCAAATGCGCCTGTACGTAGCTCATAGCCAATCACTTCCATTAGAAAAACACAAGTATTAATTACAGTGTAACAGATGTTGAAGTTGTTATTTGCATTGGAAATTATTTGCACTTGTACTTATGGCACTGTGACAACCACAGTTGGTAGTCTACTACAGGCATAATGACAATATGATATTAATAAATATCACTTAACATTTATTAGTTAAATGGACTTCGTCGACGACGATGCCTAGCAGGTGGTCATATACAACTCCGTGGCTGACATGTTTGCCACTTTGCGCTCATCCAGGCCTCGGACTGCCGACAGAAGTTGGTATCGTCAATTCTTTATCGCATTTTTTCTCGGGACACAGCTGAGCGGCAGATATTCCAGGTTGACCGCCTCCTGTACCTGGTCCTCCATTAGGGCGATTAATGGCGAGACAACAATAACGACTGGGCTCTCGCGAAGTTTAACGCCAAAAGCGTTTTTTTCTAAATAAACTTCCATTCTAAACTACTTAAAACAATATCCAAGGCTGCATCAAAAGGATAGCTTCGCGTCTTGCTGCCATGTTGAATCCATAGATATAAACAAACTGCTTCGGTGTGTCGCATAGATGTCATCATCGTCCTGCTGCTCCCTCCCCGTTCTGTGATTGTGTTCCCTAAATGAGGCGAAAATCTGGACCATGGTATCCAGACTGCCTTTCAGCATGAATAAAATCATGCTGCGCAAAGGCAGCATGAGGAAACCCAAGACTAACAAAGTTCAAACTTCTGTCTTGAAACTCTACATGGCACATGCTGATAGGTCCTTAACTTTTATATACTTGCAGTTGCAATCACACATTCTCTTATTGGGCCACAGCTGATTGGTTTCTGCTGTATCAGTAGCCAATGAGCTCGCTGCTCAAACTTCAAAAACTTGGTTTTGCTGTAGCAGTTGCAGTGTTGCTTTCAGAAACCCTCCACCTTCCCCAGCTCCACCTGCATAGATCTGCTATGGGTATTTCATGTATATTGTACAGCATCTCACAGCAGCGTTTCATGTATTTACTGTCATTAACAAGTCCCGTAATCGCTCTGCAGCAGCAATAACCAACAGCAGCAGCGAAAATCTATTTCTCCAAGACCAAACATATCAACATTGTCATATCTATTAGTATTCCCATACTAAACACTCCAAGAGTTCCATGACAGAATCATAATTTTCATCAGAGTCGTGTGCAGCCCTAAATTTCTTGTATATTTATGCTAGTTTAAGGAGACAGCATACAAACCCTGTTGTAAATCGTAAATAAATCCCATTTCATCTCTCACAGCCACCCTGGCCTGTTGACTCCTATAAGAGTATGCTTGTTTTACTGGACAGATGTCTGTGAGAAATGAGAGTTTAGTTAAATGGCTTTGCAACTGATTGAAAAAGTACATCCTGATCCAGATTCCTCCAACAAAAAACCATGGTTGGCGACATGTCTCTTCATGTGAAGGGTT